CCAAATCCAAATACTACAGTACTAAACGTCAGCCCGTATCGGTGTGTAGCCCCCCTCGGGGGGTGTACTGAGGAGTGGAGTGGAATCGGCGTGCGCGCGCGCAAGATGGGCCCTCCCTTCCCCTCCGCGCCCCGCCCGCCCCTTTCGACTTATATAGCGGGGTGGACTGTTGCTGTCTCTCGCCTCTCTCTCGCCTCTCTCTCGCCGTCTCTCTCTCTCTCTCTCTCTCTCTCTTCACCGTCCCTTTAAACAGACCGGGAAGCTCGTCGCGCCGCGCGCGCCGCACCTCCTGAAGTGGTGGAATATCAAGATCTGGCGCGACTACGACGTCAGACTATGGACTCGGCGTAATACGGACCGGAAAATGTTGCCATTCAGCTGGGGATGGGCATTCTCTCTCTTTCTCTCTCTCTATCTCTCTCTCTCTCTGGCCCACAGATTCCCACACACTCCATTTTAGCCCCGGTGTGGGGCACAGGGACCAAAATGACGGCATATGCCAACGATGAGTCATTGAAAAGTGGGGCGGGGGCACCCCAGGGGGTACGGTAGGAGGTCGAGAAGCCTGGAGACGGCAGGGTCTTGGCTAATTTCTATCCTAACTACTCAGAAAAGCTTTTTTTTACTGGAAGGGAACCTAAAAATTTTGCAACCGCAACGAAACGTATTGTCGGGGAATTACCGTATGCCAAGACCAAACAATAGCGGTGCGGAAGCCTGTGAATTTTCAGCTCGTACAAAGCCTTATAAAGTGCTCGCGGCGCCGACAATTCCATGTCGTAATCGGTTACCACGGCTTTGCATAAATTTTTCAAACGTTCCCGATCGAGTGGTTAGTTGATGTTCTGTTCTGATCGGTGTCGAACTGAGGAGAAAATGGCTAGAGGACTCAGATCGTAATCGGATCCCTAGAGCCGAATTCGCCCTTATTTTCGTAAGGAAGCGGAATTTTGAGCTGAATCTTCATCTGTTGCCCGACTGGACAATACTCAACCGATCACGACATCAAAACTTTCCGTTGTTGCCCGTTTTTGTCAACTTCCAGGGTGTCACCTTCCCTTTCAGCCGAGACTCGCCAGGTTTTCGCCGTTGAAAATTCGTCGCTCCACCGGTGGGTGGATGTACCGATCCGGCCCAGAGGAACACCGGGCGACACCGAAAAGATGAAGCCTCGAAGAGAGCAGGGACATCTCGAGTGCAGAAATGTGCCCCCAGGCTTCTCCAGGGGTTGGGGACGGGTGTCTGGAAGGGCTACGGACTGTCGATAGGAAAAAGTGGAATTTCAGGGGCGATCTCAATTTTTAAAGGGAATCTGGCACCTCTCGCTCTCTTTCTCCCTCTCTATTTCGCGCGCTCTCTCTCTATCTCTATCTCTCCCCCTCTCTCCCTTTCCCTTGCGATACCCTTGCTACAGTACCCCTTACCCTGCCCGTATTCAAACGGAATCGCCGCCGTATTGAGGAGCGTAGTGGAATGGCGGTGGGAGTGGAGTCACTTCCTGGCCCTCTTCCATTCCATTCCGTCCTATTTCCAGTCCTCCAATGTTGGGAAGACGGTATTTGCCGTGGAATAATCCCCCGTCACAGCAACTAAAGAGGACCCGGAATTGGGAAAGGAAAGGAGGGAGGGAAGGACTTTGAAAGACCACGTTTTAGAAACGAGAGAGAGAGAGAGAGAGAGAGAGAGAGAGAGAGAGAGAAATGGTCTGGCAGACAGACATCCTATCTACATAGCTTGTCACAAAACGGCATGAGAGCTCACAGGCCACTTGACGCCCCGTGGGACCCTGATCGTTCAGGGTGCAAAAAGGCACGTTCCCAGGGGCAGGCTAGCAGGGATTTCTTGAGGAATTGAAGTTAAGGGACAGGCGAGCAGAAATCCTTTAAGGAATCGAAGCGAAGGGGCACGCTAGCAGATGTTCTTTGCGCAATTCGTGGGGCAGGCTAGCAGGGATTCTTTGCGAAAACCTGCTTACCTGGCCCGATTTCATTTCCGGGCAGGGGTGGGCAAGTTTTTGCAGCGGCAAATTCCCGGCAGTCCATTTTCCGGGGGTCCGGCAGTCCATTTTGGAAGGGAAAAAGCGATTTTTGGCGGGGCGGCTACGCCGCCATACTTGGGTTACCATTTGATGGCGCAATTAGATAGATTCCAAGGACTTTCACGGTCTGGGAGTGACGCCAAATTGTGGATCTCATTGTTCCGCGTCGAACCATACCCTATATGTCCCGTCGGCAGTCCGTTATCCTTGAGCTGTTCGAACGGATATATGGAAATAGGGTTATTTTATAGGGGTTTCCGCTCTATTTTCGTAATATGTTAATTTTTCACCCTGAAAGTGACACCAGATTGTAGATATCGTCATTGCGCGCCGAACCATACCCAAGATGCCCCTTCGGCAGTCCGACTTCATGGACATGTTGGACTGCCGGAACGGAAAAGCTAGTTTTTCGAGGTTTTTCCGGCATAATTCCGGAATACGGTAATTTGAGGGCCTGAAAGTGGCACCAGATTATAGATCTCGTCATTGCGCGTCGAACCATACCCTACATGTCCTTTCGGCGGTCCGACTTCGAGGAAATGTTGGACTGTCGGATTTGAACCCGCGTCTGCAAAATGTCTGCAGAATGTAAATCGCTCTTTTTACCTCCTAAAACGGACTGCCGACGTTTCGCTTTACCAGGCCTTGGATAGAACAGCTGACGGTCCATCTCCTCCGAAAATTTGAGCCAATTCCATCGAGAAATTATCGAGATATGATTCTTAGAAGAAACTCGTAAAATGTGCTCCTGCAAAATGGCCTCAAACTCGGCAGTCCAGGATCTCCGGCCTCCTACGGTTTCTTAAGAAGACTGATACACCACCAGATTGCCCCAATCCTGAGCTACAAAATGATCTATCTACCGTCCCGGTGCGTTGTTGGGGCCCCGAGATATGGGCCCCTAAAGGGTCGCGACCCGGTCCCCAAAAACCCGTTTTTTTCATTTTGCAGACGCGGGTTCAAATCCGGCAGTCCAACATTTCATCGAAGTCGGACTGCCGAAAGGACATGTAGGGTATGGTTCGACGCGAAATGATGAGATCTATAATCTGGTGCCACTTTCAGGCCCTCAAATTGCCGTATTCCGGAATTATGCCGGAAAAACCTCGCTTAACCATAAAACCGGATTATGCCGGAAAAACCCAAATGCTTACTACATACAATAATTCAATTATTCAAACAAATGCTTCTCTCCGTTTTCCCGATGAAATACTTGTTACCTGCAATGTTGCATTGTTAAAAATCTCAAATTTTTTCCGGCGCTCCGAGCCGTTCTCCCCCCGCCCTCCCGGCAGTCCCTGCCCCGCCACCAAAATCCCGGCAGTCCTCATTTTTCAGATCTACCTACCTTGCCCACCCCTGTTTCCGGGTCCCCACAACCCTGAAAATCACCCATCCGTGGGCCCGGGGGCCCATTTCAAAGGGCCCAGTGGCCGGGCCATAAATTGAGACAACGGCCACCGGGAGCTGCACGTCGTAACTCGTGCTCCTTGGCCAGGGGAGACCCCCGGGCGCAACAAAAATCCCGCCGGCAGACATCGCACCCAATTAGCGGTAACCAGGCGGGGATCGGGATCAAGGAATCTCTGCTAGCTGGCTCTGCGCTCCAATTCCTCAAAAAATCTCTGCTACCCTGCCCCTCCATCACCTCGCCTCAAATTCCTCAGAGAATCTCTGCTAGCCAGCCCTTTCCTCTCCTGATCCCAAATGGTCTCTGCCAGCTCACCCTCCTTCTCCTCGAGGTGTTCCTCAGCCAATTTGCCCCTCTGATTAACGACCCAACCCCATCGTTCGCTCAAAAAAACACCCGAAAAGCTGTCGGGGCGTTGATTAGGGCCGACAAATCACATTTGCCCTCGGGCTATTAGCGGATCATCAAAGGAGCTTTGCAGATACCGTATTCTCGATTGCGGAGAGCTTTTTGGACTCGATTACGTCTTGTAATTCGACAAGCAGCGTTTTTCAGGATTCCCAATTACTCGCTGCTAGCCTGCCCCGGCCTTCTCGATTCCGACAGTGACCGCATCGCCCTCCTCCGTCGCTTCCCATCCCGATGCACTTCCGCTATCATCCCGTGCGTGGGACCATAGGGGGGCGCGGGGCGATTCTTCTCTTGTTTGATGTTTGCTATTTGGAGCAGATTGGTGGGGTTGAGGCGGAAAAGGTGGAGGCCGCTTCCGGTCCCGCGTCCGCACTCGATTCCGAAGCGAGATGAGAGAGGGAGAGGGACACGCGGGGTCAGCCATGGACTGTCTGGCTCGGGGCCAAGCGGGAGGGCAGGGACTACCTGGAATTTAACTTTAAACGCGGTTTTCGGAAAATCTTCTCCAATGCGCGAGGTGTTAACCAAGATATTCGGAATATGCGTAAAAAATCTGCGTCGGAATCTGTATGAAAATAAATTTTGGAAAGCGAAAGAGTGGAGAGACAGCGAGAGAAAGATGGTGACGCCTTTCTGCGACCTAATCGAATTCGAAGACTAGAGAAAGAGAAGAGAGAGAGAGAGAGAGAGAGAGAGAGGAAGCGAGAGAGAGGCAGAGATACTCCGACTCCTTTACTACACCCTCCACTCATTAGTGAAACATCTGGTGAGCATGGGTCCCACCTAGGGCCCATGGATCTGCTAGTATACCTGGATCTCAAATGGTCCCTGCTAGCCTGCCTGAGTCTCCTTTTTAATTTTCTGTATGCTCAAAAAACGAACTTTCCTGTCCCTTTAATGATCCAACTGACCAGCAGGAGCTCAATTTCAAAGATTAACCCCTCTAGACAGGAGCAAAAGGTTGAGCCGGAGGGGGCGTGGCCTGGAGGGCCATGCTCAGGCCACGGCACCCAGATCGGTGGCTCCGGCTCAGCCCCATGTTTCTTCCAGTGAGCTCCACCTTTCGCTATTGATTTTTCAGCTTTATCTCCATTTTAAAGGACCGTTGAAGGCAAATCCACAGCTTGTAAACCTCAAGGGATGCGCCGTCGCGTCTGCATTTTCCTCACGTCCATCGTGCTGTTCGCGTGGGCGACGACGAACGATTTGTTGAGGCAACCGGATGTCGATGTGGGTGGCTAGCAGAGCTTTTTGCGGAATTTGGGGGGGGGGGGCAGGCTAGCAGAGATTCTTTAGGAAGGAGTTAGCCAAATTTTAGGGCCGAAAGCCTCGACGTAAAATCGAAGCCGACGTAAGCGTCATTATTGTAATTCGTAGCGTATCGTATCGTATAGTTTTCCACGGCGTAATTTAATGGCCTAATCGATTCCTACTTTCAGATCCAATACGAAGCCGACACCGACATTTATAATGTGACTGTTGAAGAAGGTGAGTCGCAATTCCTCAAAGAATCGCTGCTAGCTCGCCTCATCCTCCATTTTTCCGCAAAGAACCCCTGCTAGCCTGCCGCACCCTCCTCCGAAATGGCCAAAAATCATTGGTCTCCCTGTTTTTGGGCCCTTTCCAGCGGCCTGGGCCCCCATTTGGGAAATGGCTGATTTGTGACGGAGGCGCGGGGATGCACCTTTTTAATGCGTTTTACTAGCCGGCCAGGGGACCCATTTTCATCCCCCAAAGCGCTTCCGGTCCTCCGGAATATACAGAGATCCAGAAAATCTGGAAAAATCAAGCATTTAGCCAAAAGATTTGCCCAAAACGTTGGCGCAATCGGTTAGCGTCTGGCTTCCAATCTAGCTACCCGGGTTCGACCCCCCGGCGCGCCATTTTTTGCTTTTTGCTTTTTGCTCTAAAGTTCAAAAATGATGCTATCCGTTCTTCTTTTTGATTTTTTTTGTGGCGTAGAACACCCAAGTATCCATAAGTCGAGTTGGGGCCCTGCTTAAAAATCGCTCCCCCGGGGGTCGTCCCTTTAAATTTCTTTGCGTCAACCCCTTAGAGGAGAGAGAGAGAGAGAGAGAGAGAGAGAGAGCAGAGAGAGAAAGAGAGAGAGAGAGAGAGAGAGAGAGAGAGAGAGAGAGAGGGGGAGGAGGGGGGGGGGAGAGGAGAGAGAAAACATTTTGAACGTCCTGAAATAAATGGGAGCTTCAGCTGGCCCTGGCGGGTTGGTGCTCCTCCGAAATGGAGATTGATCGCGTAGCCGGAGGGCATTTGAAGGGCCCGGCTTCTTGTTTGAGCTTCAGGTTGTTTGGGAACGCGGTTTCCGGGCCAAAATACAAACTACAAAGTGAGGCGAGCAGAGATTCTTGAGGAGCTTGGCTTAGGTTTAGGCGTAAGCTTGGGCTTCTGCTCACTTTCAAGCACCGTTGAACCTTCCAGGAGCATCAAGAAGGCTGACCGAATTCCTCCTGAAAAAGCATCACCCTTGTGCTCCACCGGATGGTCGCCTCATCGTTGAGTACGAGCTGGAGATTGTTCACATTTTAGGTGAGCGGCGAATTTCATGGCGTAACCGAATCCGGCAAGCCTTTAAAGGCACCAGAACTCGTAATTTCACGTCGTAATTGATAGTTTTTACTTTTCATTGATGGCGATTCCGTTAAAATACAAATTACACCATTTTTCGCTCAGGAATCGACGAGCTGAAGCAGACGATGACCGTGCTCGTCTACGTGGACGAGCGGTGGAACGACAAGACGTTATCTTGGGATCCTGCCGAATTCGGGGGCATTGAGAAGACGTGGCTCCCTCTCGAGAAAATCTGGGTGCCCGACATCATCATTTTCAATATGTGAGTCGAGATTTTGGGTGCAATTTTCCCAAATGGTCTCTGCTAGCCTGCCTTGGCCAAATTTCTCCAGGATTCCCGTCTTCTTTATTTTTTCGGCGTTTTCAGGGTAACGGGTCAATTTGAGTACAAAATTTTTTTCTCTTCGCTTTTTTTGCTCCTCTTCCTCCTGCTCGGTCTCCCCCAGCCGTCGTGGGTGAGTGGTGAGCGGTTGTGGAGGGAGCCCGAGGGAAGACCGCCGCCTGACGCTTTTGATAATTTGTGTCGATTCCAATTGGCTTTTTTGTCCCCCTCTTTCTGTCTCTCTCTCTCTCTCTCTCTCTCTCTCTCTCTACCCTCTTAATTTATTGCCTAACGAAACCCTGGGGCCAGATCGACTAGCTCAAAGCGGTGAGGGCTCAATTTCGTCTGATCCCCGAAAACTGGGGATAACATTGCGTAATCGAATAACCTAGGATCACTCCAAACTTGCCGACCCCTTTAAAAGCTGCTAAAACCCACCCTAAGGTTAAAGCAGCAGGAATTACATGTCGTAATGCATAGTAAGGAGATCAGGAGAATATCATAGCGTAATCGGTTCGTCTCGTAGTCTAACCTTAAAGTGTGAAAATGCAGACCCGGTGGCTCAGGGTTTCCAGGCTGGACCACGAGGATCTGCTGACCGCTGTACGAGCACCCGGGCTCATCTACTACAACGGGACCGTGGAGACGTCGAAGCCGTTCGTGTCTACAGTATCCTGTAAGTTGGCTAAGCATAAGCAAAAACCCCCTTCCAGGCGAGATCCACATCGAGCACTTCCCCCTCGACGACCAAAACTGTTCTTTGGAGGTGAAAAGCCCAAAAACAAGTATATCCAGTTACGCCACCTTATTCAGATCGCCTCGTGGACGTACGGCAAGGACAAAATCAAGCTCCACGGGCACAAGGAGCACGCAACGGACCACTATACGCAGAATGAGGAGTGGAATTTGTTGAGGGTGGGCAGACTAGCAGAGATTCTTTGCGGAACAGAGAGCTGTGCCTTCAATAGACCTTTAATGCGAATTTTCAGGTGCACGTCGTCGAGCAGGAGTTTGACCACGAGGGGATCAACGTTTCTGAGATCAAATACGAGATTCACGTGAAGCGGAAGCCGCTGTTTTACATGGTTTGTAGTTTGGAGCCTGAATGTGGCTTGTAGTTTGTAGTTTGTTGGCTATAAGCTACGATTCGTAGTTCCTAAGCCTAAGCGTAACCCACGCCTAGCCCAAGCCTAAGCCTATGTATCAGCCTAAGTCCAAGCCTATCCCTTTCCAGGTGACCCTCACCTTCCCCTCCTACATCATGTGCGCCATTTCCGTAGTCGGACTCTACGCAAGATTCTCAACCACAGGAGAGCGAGAGGTAGGTGTTTTAAAGGAAGCAAGACAGCACCTGGTCGATTTTAGGAGCGCTTCACCCTCGGAGTCACTGCCATCCTGACCATGGCCGTGTTGTCGCTCGTAGTTTCTGAGAAAGTACCACACTCATCTACTGATGTTCCTCTACTCGGTCAGTTCCTCAAAGAGTATCTGCTAGCCTGCCCCTATGATTCCTGAAAGAAACTCGGCTATCCTGATGCTCCAATTCCCCAAAGAATCTCTGCTAGCCTGCCCCTCCAATTCCTCATAGAATCTCTGCTATCTAGCCCCTCCAATTCCCCAAAGATCACTGCTAGCCTGCCCTCTCTCCCATTCCTAAAAGCTACTATAGCCCTTTTAATGTGTTTGTGAGGTAGGGGAGGGCCCTCCCCTACCTGATTTCCCTTCCCAGTCCCTTTAATGGGCCACATTATTACGGTGGAATGGGTGAGGTGGGCCACGAGTCCTTAGGGCCCATCCCAACGGGGGATTTCGGCTTTAAGTCTTGCGATTTCCGGCGATAAAATGAGTCAGGGGTGTTGAAAAGATTAGGAAACAAAGAAAAGCAAAAAGCAAAAATTTTGGCGCGGCTGGGGGTCGAACCCGGGTGGTGAAATTGATAGCCTAGCCCACTAGCCACTGGACCATGCTGCCAGTGATTTAAATAGCGTAATAAAGTACGTTTTTTAGTTGCCTACTTCCTGTTCAACATGGTGGTGGTATCGGTGGCGGCGATGACGACGGGGATCGTCATGAGGGTACGGTAGTGAGCATCAATTAATCGATTACGACACGAAATTCACCGAATTTTTGCTCTTGTCGATTTTCTGGGAATTTCATGGCGTAATGTATTGTTTCAGGTCCACCGAATGGGGCGTTACGGTAGAGAGCCACCGGCGTGGCTCGTCTACATCTTCTTGTTGAGGCCAAACAAATATTCGGTGAGTTTTTAGCGATTTTCCGGTTTTAAAGGGTGCGTGAAGCTGAAGCCGAAGCTGAAAAATGAGTTTTTAAGGCTTTAAAGGGACAGTAGCGGCTTGAAAACCTCAATTTAGCGAATCCGCCGTTGCCCTTCTTCCCCACTTCACCAGGTCGTCGTTCCGGAACGTAACGGAACCACTGACGTGACGCAGAAGAAGATACGGCTGATAGAGACGTTTATAAAGCGATTGATCGAGGCGTGCGAGCATATACAGGTGAGAAAAATTCTTAGAATGCCCCCAAATGGTCTCTGCTAGTTGCCCTAGGTCTGGAAATTCCTCAATTGTCTTGGCTAACCTGCTCCAGCATCGACAATTCCTTCATTTTCTTTGCTAGCCTGCCTTAGGCCTAGAAATTCTGAAACAGTCTTTGCTAGCATCCCCAGCTTTTGAAATTCCTGAATTGTCTTTGCTAGCTTGCCCTTTCTTTAGAAATTCCCCAACGTTCTCTGCTAGCTCGCCCTGATGTCTAGAATTTCCCAAAGAACCTCTGCTCACCACCCTTTCTCTAAAATTCCTCAAGAACCCCAACCAGCCCACCCCCTTTTCAGGCCCAAATGGACGAAGTCGACGTCGTTGAGCACGTCTCCAGCCGACGTCGTCAAGAGGGGAACGGCTTCGTCCGGATCGCCGAGCGCCTGGACCTCATTTTTATGACCTTTTTCCTTACGATTGTCACGATTCCGGTGATGTTACTGTTTTATTGGACGAAAAAGATGTACTCCTTGCCGAAGGTTATCTAAAAAATTAAGACTATCCGTTTTTGCCTTCAATGGTCCTTTAAAATGTGAAAAATTAGTTTTAAAAGAATTTGCAAGTCGAGCCACGACCGTTTTTGGCTTCCAGGGTCCTTTAAAACGCGCCAAGTTTGTTTTAAAGGAACCAGTAAGTCAAAAACGGCTTCCAAACTTCCCTGTTCCTTTAAAGGGAGCGTTACACCTTCTTTTTCTTTCCCTTGGTGATCTCTATGTGTTGCATCTTATTTTCCCCCCTTTCTAGCCTTTTCTAATATCAGTTTTGCCGAGTTTACGCGCATTTCGTTTTGTGATGTCGGTGCCAGAGGTTGGAGCTTATTTTCTGTAACGAATTCTATGGAATTTTGCCTTCCATGGGCCTTTAAAATGGAATAAAGTAACGTCTTTAGCTGTCTAAAGATTAGTGGACTTAGTTGGCTTAGGGTTGGGCTTAGGCTTAGGCGTAGGCTTAGGCTTGGGCTTAGGCTGAGGTCTAGGTTTAGGCTTAGGCTTAGGCTTAGGCTTACCTTTGGTTTTTTGAGCGTCCAACACCTCCAAATCGCCGCAGGGAACAACGTGTCGCTTCGCCCATGTCAGGCTATAAATCGAGTGATCGAGTGTGGAAAAAGCCAGGGGTGATGTTGCAGAGAGCATTGGTTTTTGTCTCTCTCTCTCTCTCTCTCTCTCTCTCCCTCTCTCTCTCTCGCATCCAGACGCCTGTTCGTCGCTGGAGGGCATTTTATGGGCCCATTGATGGCCAGTCTCCCCTCCGCGGGGGCCGATATTGCCCGAATCCCGCTATCAGGGGACCAACATCGAGGCGGCCAGGTGTACAGAGGTGTCGAAAGGAACTTTAAAGACCATTTAAAGGGAGTATCAACTGCCTGGTGTGTTTTAAAGAAGTCTGGAAGTCAAAAACAGGGGGGCAAGCTAGCAGAGATCCTTAGGAACTTCTAGAGGTCGATTCGGGCCTAGGCAGGCTAGCAGTGATCATTTGGGCCTACAGAAACTTCTTTTAAAGGTACCCGGTAGCCAAAAGACGAGGGAGAAAGCCAGCAGGAACCATTTAGAAGCGGATTCCACCCCGGGCAAGCTAGCAAAGGCCATTTGGGCCCTAAGTTGGCCCTCCCCCTTTGAATGGGCTCACTTTAGGGCCCCAGTGAAAGCAAATGTGGTTGCGAAGGGAGGGCGGAGGTGGACAAAGCCCCAAAACTCGAAGGGCAAACATTACGCGTCTATTCACTATGAGGGAATGGACGAGGAGGGGGAGGACGGTCATTTTATAGTCGACAGACAGACAGTCGATCAGACAAACTAACAGACATGCTGTTCAGTCCACTGATAACGGGTAGTTTCGTGCCTTCAATGGTCCTTTAAAGTCTTATTGGATTCATCGATTTTTGACTTGCAGGTGCCTTTAAAAGTTCAGGCTATTTCGCTAATGGCCTCTGCTAGCATACCCGCGCGGTTTTCCATCTTAAATGGTCTCCGCTAGAATGCCTGGCCCTGCTAAACGATCTCGGCTAGTTTGCCTACCTTTTATGACTTATCAGACCGTTAAACAATAATTCCAGCAAGTTTTTTCCTAAATGATCTCTGCTAGTTTTCCAGTGCCAAAAAAACCCCGTGGGAGCTATGGATTTGCCTTCAACAGCCCTTTAGGTAGAATTGTTAGGGTTCTTAAACATAAGATATTTAGTCTAAGGTTAAAACCACCCATTAATGCCCCACTTCCCCAAAAAATCTCTGCTAACCTGCCTGCCCTGGGGGCATTTATTTACTTGGCCTCGCTTCCCCCGGGGGGTCAAATTACGTGCTTGGGGATTCGCGAGGTCAATCCCATGCTTTTCCGCTTTTCCTGTTCTTTCAATGTCTGCTCTTGCTCAATTCTCCCACTCTCTCTCTCCTCATCCCTTTTTCAGCGTGGATGGGCCTCACCGGGGGCTGCTGCTCCTGCTCCCTCCTGCATAACCCCCCAGGGCACAAATCCAATTTTCACCGGTCGTTGTTTCTCAGATTTTACTCGAGATTTAGGGCTTAGAGTTTTTAAAGGGCTGTTTAAGGGAAATCTATGAGTTTTAAAGGGGCATTGAAGTGAAAATCGTAATCATTTTCACATTACCTTGCTTTTCTTGTGTTTCCAAGCCTATCCCTAAGCCTAAGCCTAAGCCTAACCTAAGCCTAAGCCCAAACGTAAGCCTACTCCTAAGCCTAAGCCTAAGCCCAAGCCTAACCTAAGCCAAGCCTAAGCCTAAGCCTAAGCCTAAGTCTAAACCTAAGCCCACGCCTAATCCCAACCCATTATTCTCTTTCTGCGAATAGAATTTCGGGCCCAGAAATTGGATATTCCCGGCCACTCAAAAAATATTGAGCATCCTTCGCTTTTTTGAGGGCCATTCCCCCGGGGCAGGTGTTTTTGTTGACCAGTCGCGAAGAAATATTTTTGAGGCGGCGAGAGAGCAGGGAAGAAAGCGTGAGAGTGAGAGAGATAGAGAGAGAGCGGGATAGAGAGGCTAAAAACGTTCAAAAAGCCTCCAGGCTGCCGGGTCAAGCTATACTTCCGGCAGCTTTTTGCCCAGGCTGTTGCGAATTTTCGGATTTCTCAAAGAATCTCTGCTAGCCTGCCCCTCCTGATTGCCGCTTTGTCTTATTTTTTGCTTCTAAACCCCTTTAAAGACGTCGTTTCCCTCTCTCTAATCCTAGGCTTATTTTGATGGCTTTTCCTCGGAAGAGCGCTTCCGGAATTTTCCATTTTCAAAATTTTCGATTTCTGCGTTTTATTCAATTGTAGATTTAGAATAGAGATGACTGATTTTTGGAGGATTAGAGACGCACAGCCGCCCCGGGGGCAATATAACCCATCGGGGCTCGCCGAAAAAATAGAAATAGCCGGGGGGAAGAAGCCCGTTGGGTGGCAATCAAGGGCTCGGGACAGCGATTTTCTGGCTTTCTCTCTCTCTCTCTCCTTATCTCTCGCTCTCACTTTCTCACTGCACAACAAAAAAAAACACTAAAATCCCGGGGCAGTTAGGTGTTTTTAGGCTTCCGCTTGGCTTTGGTTTGGCTTGGGCTTAGGCATGGGCTTAGGCTTGGGCTAAGGCATGGCCTGGCTTAAGCTTGACTTAGGCTTGGCTTAAGCTTAGGCTCGGTTTTGATTTTTCCGCCATTTTTGAGCACGATTTGAGTCTGCGACGTCAGACGCATTCCTTTTGAGCTCGAGTTCGACCCCGCCCGGCGCCTAAGTTTTGCTTTTTGACTTTTTGAAGTGCACTACGTCAAAAAGCGCAAAAAATCCACGTTTTGCTGTTTGACCTCCGCGGCCGGGGGTCGAACTGGCGACGTCAAAGTCCATAGCAGTCAAAACGCCCCCTTGCAAAAGCACGAAAAGCCTGTTGAAGTGTGGCGCGCGGCATGTCTCTGAGGCTATGAAGGATGTGCAAATATATGAACTGCTTTCTCTATCTCTCTCTCTCTCTCTCTCTCTCTCTCTCTCTCTCTCGCTCTCTCTCGCCTGGGGCCCTCTCTCGTTTTACACAACAATGTGGCCAGCTGGGTGAACGGGGGCCCACTGTTAGCCCCCCGGGCCCTATTCAATCACAACATGGATATTGACCTCACTAGGCGGTGCTATATCATTTTAAAGAACCTTAAAAGGCAAAATCCATCGATATACTGCTTTCAGCGGTCCTTTAGAATGCTCAAAATTGTAGTTTTCTACTTTTTAACGCTTTTCCTGCTCAAGCAATTACGACCGGGAGATATCGGCCTTATAGACCTGATTTACGTCATTTTAAAGGGCCATTGAAGCGAAATTCCCCAATTTTGGCCTTCAATGGTCCTTTAAGCGGCTTAAAACCAGTCTCTATAGCTTCTAAGAGTTAGTAGATTACGACATGATCAGCAATGGCATTTTACAGGGGCCTTGAAGTCAAGATCTACAACATCCATAGCAATTTTCGCCTTCAACGGCCCCTTAAAATGAATTTTTCTTGTTTTATTGTTGTTTTGAAACATTTTTGGATGATTGCCATGTCGTAATCGAATGCTTTGAGCTGGATCTTATGCCCGAAAAGCTGCATTCATTACGGATGAGCAACGCCCCTGAATTCGGCGCTTTTTTGTGCATTTTTAAGGTTTTTCCGCGACACTCCTCATTTGTTTTGGCCCGCTCTGCTCTTGGGCGTCTCTATATTGATGTAGACAAAACGGAAGCGGGGGCTTCTCCATGACTCATTGTGTTTCCAGACCGGCAAAAATCGAATTGGGAAAATTTTTCGAGTTTCTAGTCTCAATTCAAGCTTTAAATAGCTTAATTAACCACTAATTGATGTCTATTTTTGTGCGAAAGCCACTCAAAAAAAATGGCGGTATTGATAAAAGCCCTCCTGGAAATTTCTCCGAAAGATAACAACTCGACGGCTCCCGATTTCCGCTTTTCCCCTCCGAATTCCCGCCTTTTCATGGTTTTCCGCGAGTTTCGCAACTTCTAAACCTAATTTTTGCAAAAGAAATTAATTCGTGATCCTGGAAAAACAACTGGAGCACCGCGGAATTAATAGAATTTGCAAAATTCTGATTTTTTTTTCTTCATTCCGATTTAGATTTTTGCTTTCCACACGTTTCCAGGGCTTTCTAGTTCCTTTAAAATAAGTAAAAACAGTTTTTTAGGTTTTAAAAAAGCTATTTTAGCATATTTTAGGTATTTGGGGGCTTGCCAAGTCATTTTCTGGATTTTTGAAGAGTCCCGGCGCCTTGAAAGCCGGATCGTGATGAAAATGGGATAATTTGTGCTCTCTCTATCTCTCCCCCTTCTCTCTCTCTCTCTCTCTCTCTCTCTCTCTCGCTCTTACTCTCTCTCTCTGTCGCTCTCTCTTTCACGGACACGTTATCTTTCACTCTCTCGCTCTCGCTCGCACCTCTCTCTCTCTCTCTCTCCCTGATTCAAATTTGCTGTTGGCAACTCTCCCATAAAAAGCGATCGTCCCGTACATTCCCAAGGTGTGGATAGTACAGTGGCGGAATGGACCGTGTTGCGCGCGCCCCATTTCGCCTCCCATATTAGCCATGGGAAGGAACACGGGACGACAAGACACTTTTCGGAGGGTGGCCAACAACACCTGGATACTATTGACACTGGAAGGATACGATCGGCAAAAAAGCGCAGAGAACTTAGGCTTGCGCTTGGGCTTGGGCTAGGCATAGGCTTAAGTTTAAGGTTAGGCTTAGGCTTAGAGTAGGTTTGGCTTAGGCTTAGACTTAGGCATGAGTGCTGTCTGCTTCAAATTTCCTCAATGCTCTTTGCTAGCCTACCTGAAAACCAAAAAAATTCAAAATTTTCAGGCTCCCCTCCATGCCTTCCGAGTGCCTTTAAAATGAGCACGAGCCGTCTGGATGTTCCCGGGGAGAAGGAGCAGCTCCTCCCGCCCGAGGGAGAGTTGAGGAAGAGCAGCTCGTCCCGGTTTCAGGTGGATTTTTGGCTTCAATGGTCCTTTAAAAACAGTTTCTTCCAAAAAAAAAGTTTCTTAAAAGGAAGCGATGTTCAAGGGATTGTCCATAGACCCCAGAAATTTTTGCCTTCAATGGCCCTTTAAAAATATTTTTCGCCAAATTTCGAGTGCCCTATTTTTCAATCTAGTGCCAAATCTGGCGATTTCCCGCCAAAATAGTGCACCAATATGCGTAATATTCGTGGATTTTCGGAGGGGCGGTAAACATGGTGATTTAGGCCGTTCCCCACTCCTTCTCCTCTTGGCCCTCCTCTGCCTCAAAAGAGAGAAGGAAGCCTCTCTCTTCTCTTGCTCTCTTCGGTTGCCCCTAGCCACATCTGGCCCTTCTCTCCACACCATTCCCCCCTTCTTCCCTTTTTCGCCTAACCCGGGCGCCAGTTTTCCTCAATTTTCTCGCTCGGGTCCCGGGCGGATCCTGGCAGATTTTCCAATTACTCTAATTTCCGGAATTTTACACAAAATTAGCGTAATTTTATTGATTTTAAGCGTTTTCTGATTTTCTGCAGACCTATTAGCGCGTTTTCTAGCTAGTTATGTTTTCCTTATCATTTTTGTGCACAAAATCCAGCGCAAATACGCGACTTTTGATTACGAAATTCGCTATCGTCATCTATTACGGCATGAAAATAACGGAATCCGATCTCTTCTGATTCCTAAATAATCTCTGCTAGCTGGCCCTATCAGCTAGCCGGAAGCTTGCAAAGTTTTCCTGCTCGTTCTATGCTCTTGGTCTCTCTCTCTCTCTCTCTCTCTCTCTCTCGCCTCTCTCTCTCTCCCTCTCCATTAATTGCTACGCTCTCTCTCTGGCCTATCCACGGGTTAATATGTAGATCTTTTGTTATTGTAGCCGCCCATTTCTAACAACCATTAGAAGATGCTAAAAAAAACATTCTGGGGCATCTCCTGTTGTTTTTCTAAGAATTTTATGACTTATCCGATTACGTAATCTATTCTTCGAAAAACAATATGAGACCCCTGAATGTTTTTCGTCTAGAATCTTCATCCCGGGTTATGAGATGTACACCAGATAGCAACAACAAAAATCTACAGCTAGAGCAAGAGAGAGACAGAGGGAGAGAGAGAGAGAGAGAGAGAGAGAGAGAGAGAGAGAGAGAGACATCAACAAGCTAGTGAGGCTTCATTCATTTCGGGGTTCCTAGTATGCACCCACCCAGCTGCAACGACCCGGATCAATTGTCTAGTGCGGGCCCTAGTGGGCCCTCTCTCTCGCTCTCTCTCCCTCTCTCTCTCTCTCTTTCGCTCTCTGCCTGTTGTCCCTCTTTTTGTCGTCTGTCCGTTTGCAAGGGGGCCTCATCCATGAAAGGGCACGACAACATGGCCGCCCCTGGGGGCCTCTTGTTGCCGTTCTGAGTATTTTTCGGAACTTTTGCTGCCAGAATTACGTATTTGAATCAATTTAAACATAAAAATTCCTAATTTTATTCATTTAAAAATCTTTTAAGCTTTAGCTAACTTTCTCAAAACATTACGGCATGAAAATTCCCGCATTTGGGTGCAAAAAGATCTCTGCTAGCTCTCTCGCTCCTCTTCTCTCTCTCTCTCTCTCTCTCTCTCTCTCTCTCTCTCTCCCTCTCTCTCTCTCTCCTTCCAAACTACACTCTACTCCCTAGACTCCAGACTACAAACTATGAGCTCCCCTCGGGAGTTGGGTGCCCGAAAAAGCTCCCGTTTCGAGGTGCAACAGGTTGACGAGGAAGTCCGTTTAAAACTTAAGGGACATAGAAAATCTTAAAAAATGATTTAACCCTCTTTTTAAGGTGTCCCCAGCCGCGGAAAGTGATGAGGAAGACACGCGACGCGTGAAAAGCGTCTCCGAGCCGCCACAGCCATCAGAAACTCTAGAGCGGAAGACGTCAGTGTCGACTGGGAGGTTTACGGTACGTTAAGACTTAGCTTAAGCCAAGCCTAAGCCTAAACCCAAGCCTAAGCCTAACCTAAGCCTACGCCACCTTAGCCCAGCCTAAACCAGCCCAACCTGGCCTCTTCCAGGTAAATGGCACCGATGAAACGGCAGAAGAAGAGCACCACGACGCCACGACGACGACGACGAGACTCTAGATTCGGCCGAGCCGGTAGGTTTTGTAGTCTGTAGCTTGTAGCATAGGGTGTAGTCTGTAGTACGTAGCTTCAAGTCCACACAAACCTCAGGTCGGACGTCGAAATGTCCATTTCAACGTGGGAGGAGGTGCTGCCGGGGAGGAAGAGCGGAAGACGACGGATACGGTACACGAGGGGCAGCACACGCTGAATCAGAAGAGCTGGAGGTAAGTGGGGAATTTCATGGCGTAACTGGATAGGCCTAGCTGGTTTTTATCGGTTGCCGATTAAATTACAGATCCGGGTATTTCAATTGCGTAAGCGGATAAGCCCGTACGCTTTTTTATAATTTTTATTGCGTAATCAAATAGACCCAAGGCACTCTTAGGTTCTTTTCGTTGCGTAATCGAATAAAATATGATCTTTGTACACCAATTATAAGTCCATGTATTTATTGCGTATTCGAATATCCTCGGGGCTTTTAAGCTCTTTTTCTGGGGTTTAAAGGGACAGACACTTCCAGAAACATTGCTACCCTCGAGCACCCGCCAATCATCGATTTCTACCGTGATTCCATCGATGCCGTTGACGTCAATAGGCCCTCAATGGCACAGCTGATCCATGGTCATGGAGAGCAGCCGATCCACGAGGAGAGCCTGGAAATTGATCAGTTTAAAGGTACGTTGAAGTCGGGAGACATAGAGAGGGAGAGAGAGGGAGAGACAGAGAGAGAGAGAGAGAGAGAGAGAGAGAGAGAGACGAATCTTGCGGAAGCAGTTTGGGCTTTTAGAAGAAGCGCTTCACGTCCTCGACCAACATCCGCCTATTGATGAGCCCGGCAGGGAGGAGGACAAGGAGAAAATCGAGAAGTTGAAGGCACCAGATCAAGGAGCGGGCAGGTGATTTAGGTAATCGGTAAAGCCAGAGACTTTCATTTGCTATTTTGCTGTTCTAGATAAAAATTAATCCCGTTTCAAATTACATTACGTAATCGAATAGGCTCTCTTTTTCAGAAAGAAATTCGGTTGGATTGAGGGCGTCTTCGTTCGGTGCTTGCTGAGCATCTTCGGCGTCATCCTGTACCTCCGTATCTCCTGGGTCACCGGGCAGGCGGGAATTGGTAGGTCAACGCGTAAATCTTGACTTCTCGAAGCTAAAGCTAAGCCTAAGCCTAAGCCTAAACCAATTACGATACCTAATCCTTTCAGTCCTCGGAATCCTGATCGTGCTCCTCTCCACCCTCGTGACAGTCATCACAGCAATCTCAACATGTGCCATCTGCACCAATGGAGAAGTGAAAGGGGGCGGCGCCTATTTTCTGGTGAGTTTGCAGGGGTGGTGACAGGTCGATACTTGTTTTAGATCTCCCGCTCACTTGGGCCGGAGTATGGAGGAGCTATCGGGCTGATCTTCACCCTAGCTAATGGCGTGGGGTCTGCCATGTACATGGTGGGGCTGGCAGAGACCATTAGGGATTTGCTGGCTGAGCACGCGCTGACGAGCCCGCCGGTGCAGGAATTTTTGGATATGTTGAGGTGAGCATGAGAATGAGAGAGAGAGCGAGAGAGATAGAGATAGAGAGAGACCGACCTATTTTCACGTCGTAATCAATTCCTTCCAGCGAGCTCAACTTCATCCGAATCGTCGCCATGCTGTTCCTCCTCACCATGGTTGCCGTCATCTTCATCGGAACCTCCTTCGAGTCAAAGATCCAGATGGGGCTCCTCGTGCTCCTCCTCGCCTCCATCGTCGACTACTTTGCCGGGGCCCTGATCCTGGAGCCTACGATGCACACCAAAGTGCGAGGAGCAACTGCTTTGAGCAGTAGGTTTATTGGAAAATTGCCTCTGCTAGCTGCCACTCCAATTTCTCAATGACTTTCTGCTACCTTGCCCCATTAAAGGACCATTGAAGTCAAATATTTCAGTGCGAACCTTCCTGGCAAATCTCACGCCTCAATTCGGGAGAAGGAGAACTTCTTCACCGTGTTTGCCATCTACTTCCCGGCCGCTACTGGAATTATGGCTGGGGCGAACATTTCTGGGAGATTTGGCGAATCCGCAGGTGGGGATAGAGAGCGAGAGAGAGAGAGAGAGAGAGAGAGAGAGAGAGAGAGAGAGAGAGAGAAACACTCGATTCTAGAAAGCCATCCCTCTCGGCACCCTCCTGGCCATCCTCGCCACCACGATCGTCTACATCTTCATCGTCATCTTCACCGGGTCCACGAACGTGCGCCATGCTGACGGTATTCTGGAGCCGATGTGGGACGCCGTCGGGTTTTTCGTCCCCCCAAACTGCACGATCGAAGAGGGAGGCTGTAAATATGGGCTCCTCAATTTTTATCAGGTAGATTTTTGCCTTCAATGGTCCTTTAAAACGATTTTTTGAGGTGATTGAGATGCAAGCCCTTTTCGGGCCTCTCATCACTGCCGGAATCTTCGCTGCCACGCTGTCCAGTGCTCTCGGAAGTTTAGTAGCGGCTCCGAAGATTTTCCAGGTGAGCCAAGCCAAGCAGCTTAAGCCTAAGCCTAAGCCCAAGCCTAAGCCGGAGCCTAAGCCTAAGCCTAAGCCTAAGCCTAAGCCTAAGCCTAAGCCTAAGCCTAAGCCTAAGCCTAAGCCTAAGCCTAAGCCTAAGCCTAAGCATAAGTCTAAGCCCAAGCAAGCTTAAGCCTAAGCCTCAGCCTAAGCCAAGCCTAAGCCTAAGCTAAAGCCTAAGCCAGCCTAAGTCTAAGGCTAACACGCCAAACTACAAACTCCACTTTTTCAGGCCGTCTGCAAGGATCGCCTCTTCCCGGGCATCGACTACTTTGGCAAGGGCTTCGGGCGTGATGAAGAGCCACGAAGAGCTTATGCTCTCGTAGCCGTACTCGCTTTACTCGTCATCCTTGTCGGTAAGTCAATTTCCGAGCCTTGAATGGCCCTTTAAACCCTTGCTTTAGCGCTGCGACGGTTGTACCTTGTAGCTTATCGCTTGCACGGCAATCTACAAAAATCCAGAAACTACAAACTACAACCTCTAAATTTTCAGGCGACCTCAACGCCATCGCCCCGATCATCTCCAACTTCTTCCTGGCCTCGTACGCCATTTTGAACTACGCCTGCTTCGATCAATCGTTCGCCGACTCACCAGGTGGGCAGGCTAGCAGAGATTCTTGAGGAGGGGCAGCTAGCAGAGACCATTGGGCAACCCCCTCCCATTTCCAGGCTTCCGCCCCGGCTTCAAATACTACAACAAGTGGGTCTCCCTCGCCGGCTCCATCCTGTGCGTCGTCGTCATGTTCATCGTCAGCTGGTAAGGCCCGTCTCTCTCTCTCTCTCTCTCTCTCTCTCTCTCTCTCTCTCTCTCTCTCTCCCTCGCTCTCTCTCGCTCTCCATTACTCATTTCATGGCGTAATCGAATGGGATTTTTAGGATCACCGCCCTGCTGACGTTTTTCTTCTTCGCGCTGATCTTTATCTACCTGTGGCACCGGAAACCAGGTAAAAGCACGCGATTTTCGTGGGTTTAAAGGCACCTATATGGCAAGCTAGCAGAGATCCTTGGGAAGTCTAAATTTCGGATTTTCAGATGTGAATTGGGGCTCATCCACTCAAGCTCACAGCTATCGTAACGCGCTGGCCGGGATGGTGAAGCTGGCTAACACGGAGGAGCACGTCAAAAATTACAGGTAGGCTTAGGCTTGGCTTGGCTTAAGCTTAGCTTTCTCCAACGCTACAAAACCTCTTTCAGACCCCAACTCCTCGTCCTGACCGGAAACCCGGCGTCCCGGCCCTCACTTGTCGATTTTGTCGGCAACATCACGAAGGGAAATTCCTTGATGGTCTGCGGCTACGTCGTGCCTGTAGGTTACGATATATACCCTGTAGTTTCGAGATTAGTACGCCCCCACGGATCGTGTGCTGTCCGTCTTGAGGAAGTTGGACAGGCAGTTGACGGACTGGCTGCGGAAGAAGAAGACCAAGTCGTTCTACACGTCCATCGCGGATCCATCGATGCGGCAGGGCGTTCGAGCGCTGTATCAGGTAGCTAGCAGAGATTCTTTGAAGAATTGTAGGGGCAGGCTAGCAGAGATTCTTTGACGAATCCGTTTTCAGACTGCCGGCCTTGGAAAATTGAGGCCAAACATCGTAATCCTCGGCTACAAGGGCAACTGGGTGGACAAGGAGCCGACGGAGAAGATGATCGGCGAGATGAGCGAGTATTTTGGCATTATTCAGTAAGGATTTGCGATTTCGAAGAGAGAGAGAGAGAGAGAGAGAGAGAGAGAGAGTGAGAAATCTTTCGCTTCCAGAGACGCTTTCGACTACCGTATGGGCGTTGGGGTGTTGCGGAATTGCAACAATGCCGGTCTGGACTTCTCGGAGAACCTCAGGATTCTGAATGGGCACCACGACGGCAGGAAAAAGGAATCGATTGGGCCAGTTAAGGATAGGTACGGTAATTCCGATAATTTTGGTTTTAAAGGGAGAGTGACATGAGGAAAAATCACGTTTTTACAGTAATCCACAAGTCAACTCCGGCCGTTCGGATGCGTCGTTCGATATTCTGAAGGAAAAGGACAAGCTGGCGGATATTGAGTGAGTCTTGCCTAAGCCCAAGCCTAAGCCTAAGCCTAAGCCTAAGCCTAAGCCTAAGCCTAAGCCTAAGCCTAAGCCTAAGCCTAAGCCTAAGCCAAGCCAAGCCTAAGCCTTTTTTCAGAAAAGGCCGACTTTCCGACAACGAGGAAAAAGCTGCCGACGAAGACGACGCGCTTTGTAAGTCAATTTTCGTAATTTTTCGGGATTAAAGGGGCAGAGACAGACCCAAAATGTACAGCTACAGTACCCCAAATGGCGCCGTCGCGGAGCGCCCGGTCGATGGAGACCTTCATGAGGGAGGGGATGAAGGTGGCCGAGGGTACGGTAGAGCATGCAACGCGCTTTAACATCTATTTTCTGTGAAGTGATTGAGGCTGACAGCTCCCCGCAAATTGTCGCTGCTAGCATGCCCTTGCCGTTTGTGCGCTATAGATGCCTAATTTTTGCCTGACAGCATCGTTAATTTTGTCTGTCTAAATCTTATTTTTCAGCCACTGGATCGTTTGCCGAGAATTTCCCGTTCGATTTCGACCTAGACGTAAGTTTTTTGGGTTTTAAAGGGCCGCCAAAGGAAGGATCTTTATGAGGTTAGCTCCAACGGCCTTTTTAAAGGACCATTGAAGCCAAAAGTCCACTTGATTTGCCTTCAACGGCCCTTTAAAAACGTTTTTTAGGACTCCGAAGCAGACAGTGAGGGCGAGTACCTCGACGCGGAGGATGAAAAGTGAGCTTAAAAGTCCTTTAAAGTGATAAAAATCATTTTTCAGACCTCAAACTACAGAGGAATGCGAGCGGATCCCGCTCAAAGAACAAAAGACGAATATGAGCATCAGGAGGAGAGGGTCAGTCTTTTTGCCTTCAATGGCCCTTTAAAACGGGATTTTTGCGGATTGTAGTCTGTAGTTTCGCCGATTTTGCCTTCACAGCGCCTTCAAAATCACGCTTGTAGTTTGTAGCCCACCGCTAGCTCAGCTAGTTTATGCCTTCACTGGCCCTTTAGAAGCCACAGATTTTATAGTTTATAGCCTAGACCAAAAGCGTGGGAATCGGAATTTTACGAATTGTGGTCTGTAGTTTGTATTTGCCAATTTCTGTAGCCGGCCGAAGATTTCGATGGCGCAGCTGAAGAAAATCAGTCTGGCGCCCGAGGAGAGTCTGTAAGCAGCATTTTTCGTCGCTAAATGTTGCAAAATTTCGCATTTTGTAGCCTGTAGTCTGTAGCCCGCTTCGTAGTCTGTAGTCTGGCTTCTGGACTCCGATTTTTTTTAAGCTTAAAGCCTCGCTGTCAGCGTCTTGCCGTCATTCTTGTACTTTGTAGTCCACCCACTGTATCCCGTTTGTAGTTTGAAGTTGTAGCTCGCGTCCTGTCGATTTCTGTATATTGTAGTCTGGCTCGATGTGCCCGTTTTTGTGGTTTCGAGTCCAAAGTCTAGAGTTTTTGTAGTTTGTACTCCGGCTTACTATAACAATTTTTGTAGTTTGTAGCCTCAAAAATAGTGCTTTTTCAGGTCTCGTCGAACCACCGTGGAGCAGAAGGCCCTCCTCACGTCAATGTCTCGATTTTCGAAGAAGATTCGCGAGGGAACGATTGACGTCTGGTGGCTGTATGATGATGGAGGGCTTTCACTGCTGATTCCGCATCTCTTAACGATTCCAAAATCATATTTGGAGGTCGGTCTCGTGTTTTAAAGGGAGGGTGACACCAAATTACACATCGTAATCGATTACGCATCCTTATTCAGGGCGCTAAACTCCGTGTCTTCTCCATTTCGACGTCGAGACATACGATGGAGGCTGAGCAGCGAGGACTCGTCGCTTTGTTGACGAAGTTCAGGTAGGAGAGAGGGAGAGGGGAGAGAGAGAGAGAGAAAGAGAGAGAGAGAGAGAGAGAGAGAGAGATAGAGGTGGCTACAAAAAAATTGGTACATTTTTCAGAATCGACTTCAGCAACGTGTCGGTGATGTCGGACATTGGGAAGAAGCCGAAACCGGAAACGTGAGTTTTTAAAAGGGATGGTGACAGCTAGAAACTGAAATTTAAAGGGCTAGTAACATCAAAAATCGATACGATATGCCTTTTTAGAGGGAGCGTGACACCAACCAATATTTTCAGGCGTAAAACCTGGGAAAACCTAATCGCGCCGTATACGGTAGCCGAGGGAGAAGAGAGGGAAGGAGACGGATGGACCTCACCCTCAGAGCTGCAAGCCCAGAGGGACAAGACATTCAGGCAGCTCAGGATTGGGGAGCTGCTGCAGGAGAACTCGATGGGAGCTGATTTGATTGTGATGTGAGTTTTCTATCGTCAAGGAATCTCTGCTAGCCTGCCCTGCGCTCCTGAATGGTCGCTGCTAGCCTGCTCGGGCCCCGAGAATTCCTAAATGATACTTGCTTGATCCGTTTTTCGTGGATTCATTTCCTCAAAGATCTCTGCTAGCCTGCCTCTCAAACCTCAATTTTTAGAACGCTTCCGGTCCCTCGTAAAGGAATGGTCTCTCCGTCTCTCTACCTCTCCTGGCTGGAGATGATGACTCGAGGACTTCCTCCGACTCTTCTATTGAGAGGCAATCAACAGTCCGTGCTCACTTTTTATTCTTAATTTCTCGATTTATCTCTATTTCTCTCTCTCTCTCTCTCTCTCTCTCTCTCTCTCTCTCTCTCTCTCTCTCTGGCTCTCTCTCCCTACCCCTCTCTCTCCTCCCATTCACTTATAGGCCCTCACGACTTAAATAATTATTACAACTCCGGGTTAACTAGACCTTTAAAAATTTGCGCTCCCCCATTCGTCTCGGTTGTAGTTTGTAGCCCACAAAATTCTACAGTACTTTGCGTTGTGATGTGCCTTTCTAATTTGAATATCCCTCTCCGCCCCAAAATTTCGGTTGCATTCTGTAAAAAAACTTGTAAAGAAAAGGGTAAATAAAGCTTTAATATGAGGACGAGACGAGTCGAATTACTTGGCATAATTGATTACGGTAGATTAAAGAGACACAAAGAAAAATTACAGAGTATTTAAGCGTCGTAATCGATCAGAGAGGAACCCAAAGATCCGGAAGCAGATGACGTTTTTCGTTCCTAAATGAACTCTGCTAGCCGGCCTCGTCTCAATTTGCTGGCTAACAAAATAGCCGCGATCAGATATCGATTTCCCCCCTGCGCGAGGACGGCTGATTTTGATCCCCCCAATGTTATCTACACGCCAATCAACCTATCCCGAGCCTGTTTTGGTTTGTTTATCTCTATTTTCTTGTTTTCCGCAAGGATCTCCGCTAGCCTGCCTATCTCTCTCTTTCTCTGTTTCTCCCTGTCTCTCCCCCCCGCTCTCTATCTCTCTCTCCCTCTCTCTCTCTCTCTCCCTCAATTTCCTCAAGAATCCCTGCTAGCCGGCCACGATGTGTCGTCACGAGGAAGGAATGACGGAATTAGATTGTTCCCACTCATGCAGCCATCATACCGGAAGTGACAAAGAACCGGCCAAGGTATGTAATTTGGTGGCGTAATCGTTTACGTTAGGCAATTTAGGGACTCTTTAAAGAGCCTGACAAGTTTACAGGGTGGCCAAAAAAAAAAGTGCCTGGTTTGGGTCAAAATATCTCACTAACGGAAGCGAATCGGACCATGGTTACCATGCCAGAATGCTTAAATGTGCTGGGTATGAAGATTTAACACAACTTGATTTTTTCGATTTTTGGGTACGAAACTGTACTATTGACGCCGGGTTACGACCGAAAATTGTGCGTTCTTGAACCGGTGGTGGGAAAATTCTGATTTTTTGCCTAAAAATAGTATAAATTTGTGAAACGTTGGCAAAATCTTAGAATTTTTCGAGGCCTATTCCATTTTCTAAAAACGAAACAATTTTCGCGAGTTTTCGTTATTTTTGTTCTTTGAGTCATAACTCGCTTCTAACTCACTGCCCATGGCTGATATTTTGTCAATGACCTATCCAAATATTAATCTCGGATTCCACACCAGAACCCAACATAATCTATGGTATTTTTGTTTGCTTGCTAAAACGTGCCCTAGCGGGGGTACTTAGGTTTCGTTTTTCTCGCTTTTCTCGAGGCCCCTAGCTTCGATCCGGCTGAAATTTTCTGGGTTGTTAGGCAATAAGTAGGGGCACCTCACTGCCAAATACGAGAGCGTACTATCCACAAACTTTCATGAAAAGACTAAAACTGATTTTTTAATTCTGCCACAGAATCTTGTAAATTTTTGGTCAGTTGTACCAAAAACTGTTAATATTGCTTTTACCGAAAGACCGAAGCGATTCCATGGCAAAAACACCACGAAAATCGCGAATTTCGGTTTTCTACAGTAACCCCCGTGGAGCGCGTTTTAGCATGCCATCGCAAATTCCATAAATTGACGATTTTTCAATTCGAGGACCTTCTAGAGGTGATTGTAAGATCGCCTGTCAAAAATTACTGTTTTGGGTGGTAAATAACAAAGTTACGAGGCATAGTGCAAAACAAGGTCAGAGAGCCGATTTTGGGTCCGAGTAGCCGAGTCAATTTTCGAATTTTTAAAAATAAAAAGCCACCTGGATCTTATGGATACGATTAAAGATTTGATGTTTTTATTTACGCTTGTCAAATTCCGGAGCAATCTGATACAAAATTATGGTGACTTTCAGCCATAAATGGAAAATCACCCTGTTCAAAACCGAAGTTTAAATTCTTGTAAAATTTTTTCGACGTTAAATTTTTTAATCTTTGCATAGTTTTATTTAACTAATACCACAGATTTATTGGTGAAAAGTTCCTGGCGACTTCACCTCCCAAAAATTTTTTACGCCCTCTCGAATTCGGTTTATTTCGGGGTTTGATGAATTTTCTTTTCGCCAACGGCTGGTCAAATAAATTCAAGAACGTGCTTTAGGATGCGCTATTCAAATAATATCAGATAAAATTAAAATTACAATTTTCATAGCGCTGTTAAAATTTATAAATTGTTAGCGGGTTTTGGAAAAAAGCACGTACCAACCGTTTTGGAGGCCCTAAAATACGCCCTTCCAAAGGGGTACGGTGGCTCGAAATTTTGGAGATGATTGATAAACCCCACTCCTACATAGCTAAGCAAAGAAAACAGCTGAGTCCCCTTTGGCAATTTACAAATATTTTTCCAAAGTCCGGTTTCGAGACCCGGAAAATCCATGACCCGGGGGTCGTTGAAAAACTCGAAAATTCATCGATCTCGAAATTTTTTTTAATGTGTTTATGCGGTTGTATAGGGTCCGTAGTTATTCTACAACAACTTATTCCGATGTTTTGGCCATAGGTTTTTGTAATTTTCGAAATTTACGAAATTTCCCCATACAAAATTTCATTCCTCTATAACTTGTCAACCAGACCCTCAAAAAATTCTTAAATTTTATAGGTGCATATCTACTACCGACACTAACTTAAATAGGAAAAATTAGAACCCAGCCACCACAGGAAAGTGAGAAAAAAGCAAATGAATTTCTGCTGAACGCACATTTTCCGGGTGTCATTTGTATTGATACGTCGCCGAAAATCGAAAAAATCAAGTTGTGTTAAATCTTCATACCCAGCATATTTAAGCATTCTGGCATGGTAACCATGGTCCGATTCGCTTCCGTTAGCGAGATATTTTGACCCAAACCAGGCACTTTTTTTTTTGGCCACCCTGTAGTTTTCTCCGCACTTCCTCAAAAACCTCTGCTAGGCTGCCCTAGCTCATCTACGAATTCATCAAAAGGTCCGCGCTGGCTTACCAGGTTACGCTAGAAAATTCCTGGTTTTTAAAGGGATTTGCAAGATAGTTTCCATCCGAAATTCCTGAAAAATCCCTGCTAACCTGCCCTAACTTGCCAATTTTAATCGCGTAATCGATTACGCTAGAAAATCGCTAAATCCTGAAGGATCCCCTGCTAGGTAACCCTCGAACGCGATAAATCTAGGTAATCTCCGAATGGCTCGAGGTAATGGAGATGCAGCTGAACGAAAACAAGAAAAACCACGTCCACCACGAGATACCGTATGGGCCTATGGACAAACAGAAGGTTGCTAGTCCCCTTAAAATGATCCAAAGGGCCTCTTTTCGTCAGATTGACGTTTGGGGACAAGTCGGGAAGAGGATGTTCGTCTTCTTCCATGGCGGATATTGGATTGTAGGTTTTTTTAAAGATTTTTACTTTTTGGGTCGAGGGTTCGATCCCAAGCGCGACCAACTTTTTCTTTCGGTTTTTTTTTACCATTTTCTAAGCTTCCTAGCTCCTTTAGGAAGGTGACCGGAAGTACGGTACCTCGGCGGTGGGCCAATTAGTGCCAGAAGACGTGGCTGTGGCTTGTGTCGGCTACGAATTCGCTTCGGGACGCCATACGCTACCTGAACTCTGCGAAGACGCCGGGAAAGCTGTGCAGGTAAGCCTAAGGCTAAGTCTAAACAAAGCCTAAGCCTAAGCTAAGCCTAACCTAAGCCAAGTCTAAATCTAAGCCTACGGCGAAGCTCAAGCCTAAGCCTAAGCCTAAATGTCAGCCGAAACCGAAGCCTAAGCCTAAGCCTTAACCTAAGCCTAAGTCTAAACCTAATCCTAAGCTAAGCTTAAGCCTAAACCAGTGCCAAAGCCAGTCCAGCGGAGAAACTCCTAAGTCTAAGTCGCTTCAAGGTGCCAGCTAGCCGAGATTTTTAGAGGAATTTTTTCAGGTCCTGCTCGACAAATTCCCCTCAACAGAGCTGATCATCGGCGGCCACTCAGCTGGTGCTCATCTAGCTTTTAAAGGTGTCCCAGTCCCCTTAAAAGCATCACGATTTTCAGCTTATTCAAAGCTCGCTGATACCTCTCGAATCTCTGCCCTCTTTCTGCTTTGTGGCGTCTACCAAGTCGAAGGTCTGGAAGAGGTGTACATCGGAAAGACGATGGGGTAAGCCTAAACCTTTGCCTAGTCTATCCTAAGCCTAAGCCTAAGCCTAAGCAGAAGCCTAAACCCTCGCTTTCAGGTTGACCGTCGAAGAAGCCTGGTACTGTACATGC